TTAGAAGAAGTCAGCTTATACAAATTACCTGATTACCACAATGACTTTCCACTGGACAGTGATTTATCCGCTAGATAGTGCGTGTTCACCACCCTTTGCATTGAACAACTGGGACCTGGGGTCAAGAACTGTATCTTTAAGGAGCCACATTTGATTCTAATCACACCTGAATCTGAGAACGAGTAATGAAAATGTAACGGTAATTGTTATTATAGTTAGATGAGAAGACAAAATCGATTTTATTACTTCTAGGTTTTCTTGATAAGCCTAGACCTTCTGGGGGAAATTTTCTAAATCGTTTGGCCTTTCTAAAATCCCCTGGTCTGGTCACGCTTACGCTCTAAACATTCTACTCCAAAGTTTGTTGATCATACAATCCTGGCAGTTCAAAAAAACAAAGGGCCGTTTAATTTGTCTTCTTGCCCTCTTGTAAGGCGTAAAGCCCAGGAAATTAATGGAGGGGTGGCGAATGGTTCTTCAAAAATCATTCGTCTCGTAAAATTATCGTCGAGCCTTACGGTCTCACAGTCTTGTTTTGAAGCGGTTATATGAGTGAGGCAAGGTCGATTTTTTTTTTTTTTTCAGAAAGCTCTCTAGTAGTCTCGATGTCCAATTTTTTTTTGTTTGGTTTTATAAATGTCGTCGACTTCTAGGAGTCCGAACGTCTCACGCAAAAAACGCTCGTCTTGCCTTCTTACTAAGTCGACTTAGCGATACCTTCTTTTACTTTTTAGCTGTGAAGGGTCGAGCCCTGGTCAGGGACATTGTGTTGTGTTCTTGGCAAGACACGTTACTCGTACAGTGCCTCTCTCCACCCAGGTGAATAAAAGAGTTCCTGCTAAATGAACGCGAGGGGCAACCCCGCAATGGACCAGCATTTCATTGAAGGGGGTCGGCGGGGTAAGGGGGCATAGAGTAGAGATAGTCCTAGTCGCTTCAGGTTAAAGAAACCGAAGATAAGCACTGGCCTCATGGACCACTTGGCTCGTATGCAGACTTAAACCTTTGCAATTTTCACTAATATCTTTTTTTCACTATGTATAAATATATAATATCCATGCATAATTTGGCAAGTTCACAACATTGTATGAAGTAAGAATTACAGGAAAAAAATACACAATGATATTATATTCCCAAAATATTTGCCATAGTTTCAACATTCGCAGTTTAACCTTGGTTGTCAGTAAAGAGAATTAAGGGCAAATGTGTTTTTATTTATATTAACAAATTTTTCCATAGCAACGGTCAAATAAAACCGAGGTCAAGGCAAGAAATCGTCACTTTTTACTTGTGCTGTGTGTTGCTAGTGATACCTTTGTTAATATCAATGAAAAAAAAAAAAATTGACACAAAGATTATTCATCAAGAACAAGGAAGTTGTCGAGATTTATGAGGAAAGCAATTAGTCAGTGCCACAGTAGCGATGGCAACAGCCATTTGAA